TTAATTGAAACTTGAAGCCAAGGAAACCAGGAGACAGACACTAACAGGGAGAGAATTGCAGGTGTCAGGGGTAACCAGTGAAAATGCACTGTTTTGGGTGACGAATTGTCTTGTGTAAGTAACACAAGGAGGTCAATATCCCTGGATTGTGTCTGGAAGGGACTAAGGTGTTAAGATGACTGGAAAAGTGAGAAGGGGTTTGGTAATGAAGAGCTTTTTAAAGCTCTTCTTTAAAGCTTTTAAGCCAAACAAGATTTTATACTTGATCCTAGACACACGAGGAAGCTACTGGAGTAGAATGAATAGAGGGGATGGGGTAGAAGGAGTGACATGGTCAGATCTGAGCTTTATTAAGATCAATTTGACAGCTGAGTGGGGAATGGACTAGAGTGGGGAGAGATAAGGCAGGAATAGACCAACCAGAAGGCTTTTAAAATATTACAGGCACGATGTGATGAGGGAACATACCAGGGTGGTAGCAGTGTTAGAGGACAGAAGGATGCACATAGAAGAGACATTTAGATGGCAGAATCAATAGAACTTGGCAAAAAATCAGATATTGGGTGTGTGTGTGTGAGAGAGAGAGGGAGAGAGAGTGACATATCAGTTGCAAGACAGTAATAGAGAAGTTAGGAAAAGGAAAAGGTTTGAGAGGAAAGTTCAATTTTGAACACATCAAGTTTAAGATATATCTATAAGACTCCCAGTTCAAGATGTTCATTAGGCAGTTGGAGGTGCAAGACTGAAGGCCAGAAGATAAGTTATGATAAGATAAACATATCTGAGAATCATCTGCACAGAGGTAAAATTTGAAATCATGGGAGCCAATGAAATCACCAAATGAAATACCATAGAGGAAGAAAAGTAGAAGGCCCAGGACAGAGCCTTGGGAGACACCCACTGTTAACAGGCACAACCTGGATGAAAGATCTAGCAAAGATGACTAAGAAATTATAATAGTCAGATGGGCAGAAGAACCAGGAGACAGCAGTGTCATCAAAACCTAGAGAGAAGAGAATTTCAAGAAAAAGGTAATCAACAGTGTTAAAAGCTGCAGAGAGGTCAAGAAGGATTAAGATTGAGAAAGGTTATTAGATCTGGCCATAAAGAGATCATTAGTAACTATGAAGAAGGCAGTTTCAGTTAAATGAGGAAGTTGGAAGCCATACTGCAAACGTTGACAGTGAGAAGAAAAGTGGAGGCATTTATTGTAGATAGTCTTCTCAAGGAGTTCAGGCCATCACTTTTCACATAGATTATTGCAACATTCTCCTAATTGGTCTCTTTACCTCAAGTCTTTCACTACTCCAGGCCATTCTACACTACTGCCAAAGTGATTTTTCTTAAGCAAAGCTTTCACTATGTGAATCTCCTAGTCAGACAACTCTAGGGGCTTCCTATTGCCTTTAAAATAAAATATAAGCTCCTCTGTTTAGTTTTGAATTTCCTATGCAACCTAGTTCCAATCTACCATCCTCTTTGGATAAGACTCTTCTGTACCCAGCAACCTAGCCAAACTGACCTTTTCGTTCTTCACTTACTACGCTCCATGTCCTGTCTCCATGCCTTTGCACTTATGGATGGCCCTTCTTGCCTGGAATGCAATTCCTCCTTGTCTCTACTTCATGTAGTCCCTCTCTTCCTTTAAGATTCTGTTCAGCATGACTTAACGTGGAAATGTGTTTTGCATGATTACACGTGTATAACCTATGTCAAATTGCTTGCCTTCTCAATGAGAGAGGAGAGTAAGGAGGGAGAGAATTTGGAACTCAATATCTGAAAAAAAGAATGTTAAAATCATTTTTACATGTAATTGGGAAAAATAAAACATTAAATAAAAAAAAGATTCTGCTCAGACACCATATTCAACATGAAGCTTTTCCTAATTCCCCAACCAGTTAGTGCCCTCCCTCTTTGCATTTAACTACTTTATCTATACTTTCATATGTATGTTTACATATGTATTCTCTTTATAGTTATGCTTTATATATTTTTATATGCACTTATTGTCTTCCTTATTAGAGTATAAGCTCCTTATGAGTAGAAATTACTTCATTCTTTGTATTTGTATCCCTAGTGCCTAGCATAGTATCTGACACATAGAAATACTTGTTTATTGTTGAATGGGAATAATATTCATTGAAATTTAGATAATTACTTTTGTCTTTCTTCTACCACTCTAATGGAATGAAAAGCTGAATGAAAAAAGTATTTGTTAAGCACTTATGGTAATTCAAATAGAAAATCAAGACAGTCCCTATACACAAGAGGCTCTTATTCTAATATGGTGGGAAGTCAATACATACAGAAGGTTTAAACTGTAAGTCAGAAGGAAAGACTCAATCCCTTCCCACCATTATTCATTTATTTTAGCATTCTTTTTAAATTTTGAGTTCCAGATTTTCTTCCTCCCTCCTTCCCACTCCTCTTCCACCCACTGAGAAGGCAAGGAATATGGTATAAATTATGCATGCAAAATCATGCAAAACACATTTCCACAAAAAAGCAAGAAAAATAAATAAAGTGAGAAAATCCTACTTCAATTTCCATTGAGTTCATCAGTTGTCTCTTTGAAGGTAGATAGCAATTTTTTTCCATCATGAGTCCTTTGGAATTGACTCAGATCATTGTATTGATCAGAGTAGCCAAGTCTTTCACAATTGATCATCATTACAACACTGCTGTTACTGTGTACAATGATCTGGATCTTCTCACTTCACTTTGTATCAGTTCATATAGGTCTTGCCATGTTTTTTTCTGAAATCACCCCCCTCATCATTTCTTATAGCACAATAGTACTCCATCATTGCAGCTAGGTGGCACAGTGAATAATGCATCAGTACTGGAGTCAGGAAGACCTGAGTTCAAATCCAGCCTCAGACACTTACAAGCTGTGTCACCCTGGGCAAGTCATTTCACCTTGTTTGCCTCAGTTTCCTCATCTATAAAATGAGCTGGAGAAGGAAATGGCAAGCCACTTCAGTATCTTTGCCAAGAAAACCCCAAATGTCATCACGAAGAGTCAGACATGACTAAAATGACTGAACAACAATTTCATCACAATCATGTCACAACTTGTTTAGCCATTCCCCAATTGATAAACATTCCTGAATTTCCAATTCTTTGCCACAAGACTCAATTGTTCTTAGCATATGATGGCAAAACAGATGATAATGCATTTTCTTTAACGTCATTTCCATTGGGAAAAATCCTCTATTTCTGATGCTGAGTCATTTACAAGAGACTGTGGTGGCAAGAACTTTTTGTCTGGAATCACAAAATCATAGAATTAGAGAGTTGGAAAGGACATTGATAACCATTTAGTTTAATCTAATGTATATAGGTATTTCTCAAAGGTCTGTCCTTAGTTTTTCTTTTTGTTTTTTTCTCATCTTTTCCTATATTTTGTCCCTTGGCAATCTCAAACATTTGAAGGACTTCAAATGCTACAATGATGACTCAGTCCAGACATCTCCAGACTCATGTCTCTCACTAACTATAAGACTTCTGACCTGAATGTCTATTTTAATGACACCTCAAACTCAACATATCCAAAACTAAGCTTATTCTTTCCTCTATAATTACTAATCCTTTTAATTTTATAATATTTATAACTACTAGAATGTTTTGAAGTCTTCTCTTTCATTAAAGGTTCATTTCCCCCTGCAGGATTATACTCAATTTTGCTAAGTAAAGTAGTTGTGGTTGTGTTAGCCTTCTGGAATATTTTATTCCAAGCTCCCTGCTCAATTAAAGTGGCTGCTGCTAAATCTTGTGCAATCCTCATCATGGCTCCTTGGTTCTTGAATACTGTCTGCCTGCTTTTAGTATTTTTGCTTTAACTAGGAGATTGGATTTTGACTACACTATTCCTGGAAGTTTTTCATTTTGGAGTTTCAGGACATGACTGGTAGATTCTTTCTATTTCTATTTTGCTCTCTGGATCTAGGAGATATGGGCAGTTTTCTTTCATGAAAGCATAAAGGAAATGTCTTGGCTCTTTTTTTTTTTGGTTGTAGTTTTCAGATAGTCTAATGATTTTTAAATTATCTCTCTTCCATCTGTTTTCCAGGTCAATTTTTTTTTATGATATGCCTTACTTTTTTTTCTTCTTTTTTTCCAGTCTTTTGCCTTTGTTTTAATATTTGTTGTTATCTCATTGATTCATTTGTTTCAATTTGGCCTATTCTAATTTTCAGGGAATTTGTTGCTTAGGCGTGGCTTTGTATGTTTTGCACTAAATTATTATTTCCCTTTCTAATTCTTTTTGGTTTTTTGTCTTGTTTTGGTTTTTTTTGGTGAGGCAATTGGGGTTAAGTGACTTGCCCAGAGTCACAGAGCCAGTGAGTGTTATGTGTCTGAGGCCAGATTTGAACTCAGTTTCTCCTGATCCCAGGTCTGGTGCTGTATCCACTGCACCACCTAGTTGCCCCCTCCCTTTCTAATTCTTAGCTCCATAGTTTTCATTTCTTTTCTGATTATTGCTCTTCTAGTTTGAGCTCTGCAAGTTTCTGATCTATGTTTGAGTCCAAGCAGCATGCTTGTGGGATTGTCCCATTTGGAGTTCCAGTAGATGGCTACTAGCCTCAGTCATTATCACTAGTTTCTTTTAAAATTTAGCTCAAAATTTAGCTTTACCTGCGTAAAGCCCTTCCTGATCTTCTCTTTACCTCCAGTCTCTCTGTAGGCAGAATCTCTCAGACCTGAATAATAAGTTTCATTGATCATAACTTTCTCTGGCAGTAAACTTGACCTTTTTTCCATAGTTCACTCTTACAGTAATTGGAAATTCTATAAATTCATTCTACTCATGAAAGACAAAAGTAGGTTAACTGAGGAAGTATCGACAACTGTATGTGAATGAATGGCCATATTTTTTATTCAGGTTAGGAAGATATTTAGCTAATAATAAACTTTTTAAAATTATTTTTCAAGTACCACAATTTATATATATTTTGTTGTCAGCATTGTTTTATCATCATAAATATTTTTAAAATTACCTCTAATTTCTTAGCACATAGTCCACTAACAAGTGAAACCACACCACTGTCAGTTACCTAGACAGATTAAAAGAGAATTATATTATAAATAGAGAAGATGGAAATATGAGCAATATCTTTTCTTTAAAAAGACAAGATGGGAAAAGGGAACAAGTATTTATATAGCACGCACTATGTGCCAGGAACTGCATTAAGTACTTTATAAATATCTCATTTGATCACACAACAACTCTGATAGTAGCTGCTGTTATTATCCCCATTTTACAGTTGAAGAAACTGAGGCAAACAGAAGTTAAATGACTTGGACAGAACACAGCTAGTAAGAGTCTGAGGTCATGTTTGAACTCATTTATTATGGTCTCTAGGCCCAGTGCTCTATCCACTGTCTCACTTAGCTGTCTGGAAATCATTTAGGAAAGTTTCACTTCACTTTACTGAGAAAATATATCATTTGCATACATCTTCTTTGTTTAAATTTATTTTAGAGGTTAAACTATGAACACATTTACTTTTAAAGCTCAAAACTAGAGAAAAATTAGAAATGAAAGAATGATTTAGAAATCTTACAAATTGGGACAAATAGCTAGGTATAAAATATATCCATATAAAATATACTATGTAGTTATTATTAAACCAATATCACAATTTACCTGAGTAGCAGAAAAGTCAATACTCTGTAAAAATGGACAGTTCTCTCCAAGGGCTTGTAGAGACACATCAGTAATACCTGAGCAGCCACCTAAGTCAACTATCTTCAGTAACCGACAATTGAGAGCAAGGGCAAGGACACCTTCATCTGTGAGATTACTGCATCTTTTCAAAGAGGCTTCAGAAAGAAATGAGCAAGCTGATGCAACAGCTTTTATTCCTAATGGGAAAAAAGTATACAAGATGTGACTATAAAATGATACGACTGATTTTTAAAAACTCAAACACTAGATTTTAGATATCCAAATAAATGTTGTCCCTTTCAATGAAGTTACCTTGAGAGGTATCCATTTATTCCAAGGATGATGCCACAACTAAGAACATTTTAAAAAAAGAATGCTTCATTCTTTTAATATATCTTCTTTTAAATTCTTTTAAATATCTTCAATATTCAAATGAGGTAAAAAATTTTCATTTTTTAAAAGAATGGATATGATTTTTTTGAATAGCCAAAACTTATTTGGAGTTAAGTTTGGTGAATAATGTGGTTGATAATAGTGGGTAACATTTTCTGGTTAAAAAAAAATTGAGTGGTATCATAAAGTCACTGGATTGATTTCGTTTGAAGGTTATTCTAAGAAGGTTATTTAAAAAAATTTTTTAGCAATTTTTTTTAGCACTGGAATAAATATATAGCCTTCCAAGTTGACAAGTAGGAATGGGACACAGCAAATTAGATGCTCAAATTCAGTTTCTTTAAAAAAAAAACCCTTATTTTAGTACTTTACAATCATATTCTTATAACATAAAACAATTCTGTGATCCTATGAGTGTCACTTTAATATAAAAATCCTTAATGATAATTATAATTGTCATAGGATATTCAAAACTTAACTTTGACCACATGTAAGTCTCTGAAAAACAAAGACTTATTTAAATTCAAATCCAAAGTCATTTATCGAAAAGGTCAGTACCATTGTATTCATACTATTTATTTACTTTTTCTGACCTTTCCAACCTCACAATCTCTCTTGCATCTATTGTCATACTCAATTCTGGGTCCCACACTCTCTCTAATTTTCCCTCTGTCCTATCATTTCTCTCTGACCCAATTCTAAATGCTGAGTAATTCTTTATTTTTTCTTTTGGTGAGGCAATTGGGGTTACGTGACTTGCCCAGGGTCACACAGCTAGTGAGTATCATGTGTCTGAGGCCAGATTTGAACTCAGGTCCTCCTGATTCCAGGGCTGGTGCTCTATCCACTGTGCCACCTAACTGGCAAATTCTTTAACCACCATATTCCACCTCTCTTTCCATGGGTGCTATTCTTTCCCTGGATTGGAATGGCCCCAGATTTTTTGGCAGTGTCATTTACGCGCCATTAAGGTGAGCAATATGGAAGGAACAGGTCTTGGAGTCTGGTTGGTCTGAGGATCTGGATATACATGGTGGCACTGGTATATTATTAAGTCATCATCTGACCTCCACAAGAAAAAGAGTATATTTAGTAGGCCAGAGCATGTCAGTCATAGACAAACACTTTTAAAGATATGTCACAAAATCGACCATAAAAAGAGAATGAAATTTTTAGCAGTGAACAATTTTTCTTGCTTTTATATTTTTGCTTATTTTATTTATCTGGATCCAGAAAGACCATAAATATCCATGAATAAATCTATGAAAGAACATGGAGCAATCCATAAATAGATAGCTTTACTTTTTAGTGCCTTTAAAATGTAAAGTAGGGGCAGCTAGGTGGCACAGTGGACACAGCACCAGCCCTGAAGTCAGGAGGACCTGAGTTCAAATCCGGCCTCAGACCAAACACTAGACACTTACTAGCTGTGTGACCCTGGGCAAGCCACTTAACCCCAATTGCCTAAAAAAATAAAATAAAATAAAATAAAATGAAATAAAATGTAAAGTAGTAGGTCAGAATCACAGAATCTCAGAATTGGAAGGTACTTCTGGGGTCATTTATCCTACCTATAGCTAATCTATTTTATAACATAACCAATCAGAGATCATACAGCCTTTGCTTAAAAGTTAGGTGAATGCACTCACTCCTCCTAAGGCAGCCCATTTTTTGAGAGCTCTAATTGTTTTCCTTACATAAAACCTAAATCTTCCTCTCTGCAACTGCTACCTACTACTTTTAATTCAGCCCTCTGCATCCACAGGAAAAAGTCTAACCATTTTAGAGATAAATATTGTATCCTCACAAGTCTTCTCTTCCTTGGTTCCTCTTTTTCAAAAATTCTGATTATGTACTCTAAACCCACGATTATTTTTATTAATAAATTTAATTTCTTTATTCATCATCTTCAGTTTTACTTTAGACCAGGGGTCTTAATCTGGGGTCCATGAACTTATTTTTTTTAACTTGATAACTATTTTAATACAACTAGTTTCCTTTGTAATCCTATGCATTTTATTTTATATATTTGTCCATGACAAAAAAAAAAGTTAACTGCTAGATTCTTCTTTCTCCTTTCCACAAAAGGTGTTATACCAGTTCTTCTTGGGTCCACTGCAGTTTATACATTCAGAGTGAAACATACTACACCAAGCAGTTGATGGACATGTGTGTCTCTAACAATTTGGACAGTAATATCTACATGTTAGACAAAGAGAGGGGAAAATGCTTATTACAATGCAGTTGGTTATACAAAGATAAAAAAGTAAGCTTGTTAAGGAGAATATTTATCAATAGTTACAGGACATAAAAAGGAATGTGTCTTTGTTAGTATAGTTATTTGTAGTAAATCAAAGGGGACCAAAAATCACTTGTGAGATAAGATAAAGGAAAGCAGATGTTCTTGGGCTATTGAAGTCCTTTTTTTTCATTTTAACAACTATCTTCTGTGGTAATTTGGGAAGGAAAGGAAAACCAGGTATTATAAGCTGGTCACAAAGTTCATGCAGAGGTCACATATAGCAAAAGTCGTGAACACAGAACAAAATGGAGCAGTTATATCAAGTCTTAACAGACTACTCTTTGATCTTAAAAAAATCACTTTTAACAAAGGGAAAAAAAATAAGTTAACAATCAAAATCAATGTTTAAAACCAGTGTTTAAAAACATACCTTCTGAAGTAACAGAAATTCTATTTTCTTTTGAGGAATTTAAATTTAATTTCTTCAGTTTCCTGCAGTTACAAAGCTGTAATAATGCAGTATCTGAAATATCACAGCTTCGGAGGTCTAGAGAATCTACTTCAGGGTGCAAAATCTATTTTAAAAAATACATAATTTTTCATTAAACCAGATATTGTTTATAAATTTATAAACTCAAGTTTGAAGATATTTCCCTCAGTTTCATGCAAAAATTATATATATTGATATATAATTTTAAAAGAATTACAAAAAAAGTGTTATTTCTTTGCTCTCTAATTTTGCAATAAATGTTATATATGGTTTCTTGTATAATTTCATTTGTAACATCTTTCTACAAAAGAAATTGAGTTGCAAGGAACCATAAAAAATTATGCTGTATAATCCCTCAACACATGTATTCATATAGGTGAAATCATGTTCAAATTAACATCAATTTGAAGATAAAAATTTGAAGGTGAAAAGTCACAAAAAGGAAGACTGACAGAATGAATGAAGGTTTAGAAGAGGGATGTTTTGAAATCTTTTGCTTTGTGGTATAGGGGTTAAATGAAAGATAGCCTTTCATAGCAGAAAGTGTTTGGCTTGAATCTCATTTGACACCAGATATAGGCACAGTTCCTTAATCTTTCTGACCCTGTTTCCTCATCTGTAAAATAGTAATGATACCTGTAGTAATTCACAAAATTGCTGAGCAGTTCAAATAGGCATATACAGCATTTCTGCAAACCTTGAAGTGCTACAGAAATCATACTTAATATTAATTTCTAAGCCTATTCTGCATTTTTCCCATCACCTCTAGCTCCTCCCCATTGTTATAATGGACTCTGTTTCTAGGTTATTCAGATCTAATAGGTGAGCTTTTGCCTTATCTTGCTATTTCCCAGCCTTCATACAAATTCCTGGATTGTCCTGAACCATGCCATGGCACTGTAGGGTACTCTTCTCCTTACCCCTCTTCCAGCTCACTTTTATGTGTTGTTTTCCTTCATCAGAGCATAAGTTCTTTAGAAGCAAGGATGGTCTTGAGTTTGTATCCCAATACATAGTTCTTGGCACACAGCAAGCAATTAATCAATACTTTATCTAACTACAAGGTAGGAAAACCAATGACTGGATTCTAGAAAGCAATCAGTCTACTACCATCAAAGCAATACAGACTGAAACATATAATCTCCAAGATGGTAAGGTATAGAGAATAGATGGGTAAGATTTGGAGTATCAGTGATTAAGTTATTTTTAAAGACTAACAAATTTACTCTTACATACTTACAGCTGTTACTTACATACTTACAGCTTTAACAAAAATACAACTTTCTTGGAAAGTACAGATGTGTCTAAATTTAATGGATCAACGCAATCTCTAAAGTTTACCCAGTGCTAATGTGATTCAGTCACTCAACAAGCATTTATAAAGTACTAATTACATGCTGGGCACAGTGCTAGACAGTGGAAATTAAAAAAATTAAAGTCCTTGTCTTTAAGCAGCTTATTGGGGGGTAGGGGAAGGAAATCGGGGTTAAGTGACTTGCCCAGGGTCACACAGCTAGGAAGTGTCAAGTGTCTGAAGCCAGATTTGAACTCATGTCCTCCTGACTCCAGGGCTGGTTGCTCTATCCACTGTGCCACCTAGCCATCCTAACAGCTTATATTCTTACTATAATTCTGCTACAGCAAAAACTTGAAAAGCAAGGAAGCTATGAGTTTTTCCATATAATGCTTCATTTTATTTAAAATTAGGGAAACATTGAATATTAATAACAGGTAAGACTCAGGAAGCATAAATATATAATTTTCTCATAATAATTCACACATAAAATATTTTAAACTTTGAAGTACTTTCTTCACAATAACCCTGTAAGATAGGCAGTGAAAAAATGATTGTCCCTGTTTTACAGACTAGGAAACTGAGGTTCTGAGAAGTTAAAAGACTTGTCCAAGATCACATGGCTAGTAAGTATCTAAGATGGGATTCAAACTCAGGTCTCCTGATTCAAAGCCCGCTATTCCATCCTGCTTCTCCATCCAATAACATACACTATATTTTGGTTATTAAAGTTTCCATCTTTTTATCCCTTAAGATTTAAATGAGATGTCATATTTCCATTGTGAAGCTTCTGCCGATCCTCTGAAACGTTAGTGTTCTCCCTTTCGAATTACCCTTGCATAAAGGGTGCATGTTACATCCTTCCCAGTAGAATATTAAAGTCCTTGGGCAGGGATGTTGCATTTTTGTCTCTGAATCTCCTGTGCATAGCCCAGTGCCCTGTACAGAGTAGGAGCTTAATAAATATGTCTTCTACATAAGAAAGCCTGCTTCAACCTTTCTTAATTCTAGTACTTTCCTTCTCTCAATTATTTCTTATTTATCCTGTATGTGTAGCTTCTTTGTACATATTTGTTTATTGTCTCCTCTGTTAGATTGTGATCTCCTTGAGAGTAGGGACTGTTTTTTGCCTCATTTTGAATCCTCAGCACTTAGCACAGTGCCTGGCACATAGTAGGTACTTAATAAATGTTTTTTGATTGATTAAAGTATTCACTGAATATATTCTCTTTCTTAAGAGTTAGCTTGGCTCTTTTTGAAGAAAAAAAGGCATGAGTTAGAATGTAAAAAAAATAAGTTCAGATACCATAAAAAGTACTGAATAGATACAAAGGATATTTCTATGTAGGAAATTGTATTTTTTCAGTTTCTTAAACATAAAGAACAATAATAGAAAGATTGATAAACCAGTTCACTGGGATAATACAGAAGTAAACAATAAGTTCCACAGATATTTCAATGTAATTTTTATAAGAAAATATTTAAAACCTTTGACATTTTGAGGAGCATCTCCCCTTCCCCCACCTGCTACAGGAGAGTTGTTTTGTTTCTTTATTTCTCATAAGAAATCTTTATATTCTTGATCTTTCTGTGATATTTTTACTTTCACAGGCTTTTGACTCTTGTAGACATAATTCTCAAAGATCAATGTGAGGCTGAAAAGAGGAAGTCACTGTTTCTATTCTATCAAGATTAATACTTCATTTCCCATATCTTCTATGTCTCCTGGGAGATAAGTCATATTTTACACAGATTTAAAAGTAGAAAAGAGAGTAATTTCTGAAGTCAAGAATAAGGCAATGCAAAAATATGTCTATATTATGTATTTAAACACTGATACACTTTCAAGAACTATTAAAACAATAAGAACAGTAATTACAGAATCTGATTTCAGCAGGATTGAGTAAAATAGATTATTAAATGAATGCAAAAACATGCACTCAGGAAAAAAACTGTCTATAGTATCATCATAGAAAATGTAGTACTTAAATAAATTTTAAAAAGAAAAGAAAATGTAGTACTGCCAGTTTAACACTTTAACATTACTGTACATAAACCAATTCGGTTTCTCCCAACAGGAACAGCTCTCTTTCATCATATCAATTCTCCACTTGCATTTTAGAACTCAAGTTCTGACCACAGGCACAGGAATTCACTAACACTTTCATTCTCTCAACACTTCTAATTCTCAAGTAGCATATTTACTTAGAAAGAGTAGATAGACTAAATAGATGAAAGGTATAGAACACCTAAGTAGGAAAAGGTTCATAAGAAGATGAGGTCTTAAATGAGGTTAGTCTTGTTGTGAGTAAGAGAGAGTAGAGTAGAAAAGCTTGGCACTGGTTCAGAAGCAGTGGAGTCTGATGAACTTGGTGAGGCAAAGGAGATGACTAAGAAGTCAAGGAAACAATTGGGAGAAATGTAGGAGTAGCTGGTGAACATAAATATTTTGCTGAGCTGAGGGAAAAACGGATGTTCTGGTACATTTTTTAAAGTTATTATTCCTAGTATAAACTAACCAAATCTAATATATAATTAGTGCAACTTTGAACAGTTTATGTATTCTTACCTCACTAATATTGGAATCTGTTATTCGCCCTTGAAAACTCATTATTTTAATCATCTTATCTTTTATATTAGGAGGCAAAAGTTTAATGTCTGTGACATATCTGGAAATATTCTTCATCAAGCACCAAAGGCATCTGAAATGTAAACAGTAGGACAAAATAAATTGTATTATGGTTCCCACTTCTATTCCAGTGTTGTTTAATATAGTACATGCTCCTTCCATGCAGTACGTGTAAATATTTGGTATTGATATTTATGTTTTCAGCTGAACACATTTCTACTTTATTAAATACCTAGCAACTATTCATACCTATACTACATTGTTATTGTTCAGCCATTTCAGTCATGTCTGGCTCTTTGTGAGGTTATTTGGGATTTTCTTGGCAACGACACTGGAGTGTTTGCCATTTCCTTCTCCAACTCATTTTACAGATAAGAAACTAAGGCAAACAGGGTTAAGTAACTTGCCCAACTTATATGTGTCTGAGGCTGGAATTTGAACTCATAAAGAGAAGTCTTCCTGATTCCAAGCCTAGTATTCTATCTACCACACCATCTAGCTGCCCATGCATACTCTTTCTCCAAATCCATATTTTCCAGTATTCAAGTTTCCTACTTAATAAATGCTTGTTGAATGGCTTACTGACCACTGAAATATATTTGTTCAGTCAAGTTTCCTTGAACCCCTCAAGGGCCTAAGGATCTTAGTTATGAAATGGCATTTAGTCATCCCTTCTTTAAGTTTTTAAGATATATTTCATTTCCAGTATTTCCTTTCACTTAGTTATACACCAAAAATGATAAAGAAACTTTGGCCAAAAAAATTATGCAAATAGTATAGTCTAAATGATGAATACGGCAGCTAGGTGGTGCAGTGGATTGAGCACTGGGCCTGGAGTCAGGAAGACTCATCTTTCTAAGTTCAGATCTGGCCTCAGACACTTAGTGGCTATGTGACCAAGACAAGTCACTTAACCCTGTTTGCCTAAGTTTCCTCATCTGTAAAATGAGCTGGAAAAGGAAATGGCAAACTATTAAAGTATCTTTGCCAAGAAAACCCCAAATGGGGTCATGAAGAGAGGGATATGACTCAATAACAACAAAATGGTGAATAAGTTTGGGGTTAGCTTTATAAATAGGTAAGGTGTGAAATGGTCTCCATAATGGGATTCTGATGACACCAAAATGTAATGTAGTGGAAAGAGTACTAGATTTGTAATCAGAGAACCTAGCTTTTAAATCTTATCCCTACTACTTACAACCTATACTAAAACCCTCCTTTTACTCTCCTCTAAACCATCTACAATCTGACTTCTAACATTATTCATCTGAAATTACTCTCCAAAGTTGCTAATAATCCCTTAATTGCCAAATGTAATAGCCTTTCCTCAATGGTCATCCTTGACCTTTCTACAGCATTTCATGGCTGACTATAATTTCCTGCTAGATTCTCTTCTCTCTGCTTTTTGTGACACTGTTTTCTCTTTGTTCTTCTGTCTGATACTTATTCTCAGTCTTTTTTGCAGGTTCATCACCCATCTCATACTCCCTAACTATGAATATATGGCAGTATACTCAATCTCTTGGTGACCTTATCAGCTCACATAGATTTAATTATCTACTCAATCAATGCATCAGTAAACATTTATTAAGAGCCTACCATGTGCCAGGTACTGTGCTAATTGCTGGGGATACAAAAAAAGGTAAAAAACAATCCTTGCCCTCAAGAAGTTTTCAGTAGAAGAGACAGCATGCAAACAAATATATACATAGCAAGCTATTTACAGGGTAAATAGGAAATAATTAAGAGAAGGAAAGCATTAAAATTAAGAGGGGTTGGGGAAAGGCTTCCAGTAAAAGATAGGATTTTAGTCAGAACTTAAAAGGAAACCAGGGAGGCCAGCAAATGGTGTAAAGGAAAGAGAGTATTCCAGGCATGAGAGACAGCCAGAGAAAATGGCCAGTGCCAAGAGATGGAGTGTCTTATTCTCAGAATAGCTAGCAGGCCAGTATCAGTAGATCAAACGGTATGTGTCTGGGAGTAAGGTATAGGAAGATTAAGAAGGTAGGAGGTGACTAGATTATGCAGGGCTTTGAATGCCAAAGAGGGTATTTCATATTTGATCCTGGAGACAACAGGGAACCACTGAAGTTTTTTGAGTTGGGGTAGGGGTGATAAGATCAGACCTGTATTTTAGGAAAACAATCTCAGCTGCTAAATGGATGAGTTGAAGTGGAGAAAGACTTGAGTCAAGTAGACCCACCATGGTGACTGTTACAACATTCCAGAAAGGAGGTGATGAGAGCCTACACTAAAATATAGCAGTGTCAGAGGAGGGAATGGATTATATTTGAAATATGTTACCAGGGTAAAATTGGCAGGCCTTAGCAATGGAGTAGAAATAAGGGGTTGGGATCTCTAAGGTCCCTTAGCTTTAAATCCTATGATCTCTCAAAGGGGCCTGCAATATTCCAATAGACCTATGAATTTATCAATATGGATATTCCCTCCAGTAATATAGATCACAATCTATCCTGAGTGACTTTCATGCATGTCCTCCCATAAATTCACAAGTGTCTGAAATTCCTACCATGAGTAGAATTTTTCAAGGACATTTTAATTAGGATAAATAGCATTCTAAGAAGCAGTGTGGCCTAAGGGATAGACCGTTGTCATCAGAGTCAGGAAGACCTGAGTCTAGGTCCCATCTCCAATACATACTGGCTGTGCCACCCTAGAGAACTTAAGCATAGGGCAGGCAAGCCAATCTAACTGAGGCCGCAAGGTACCCTGAGGGAAATAGAGTGGACAGCAGTGCCAGATTATTAAAACCACCACTGCCACAACTTGGCCAACATCTCCCATCAGCCCAGGAGTATGGAGAATAACAGTGCTCCATCAAACCACCAAACTCATTTCCCACCCAGCCCCAATAGCCATTGTTAAGAGATCTTTGGGTGGGGGGGGCCCTCCTCATCACTACCCCATCTACCATAAACTGCTGACAAACTACCACCAAAAGGCAGATAAGCACAGGAATCTTGAGAGTGGCAGCACCACAAAAAAGAGTCCTGCTCACACCAATCATCTAGGAAAACAACTCCTGTAGAGAAGGAGATAGCTATCTACACCAACTGTCAACAATCTGACACCCATAGCACAGACAAGCCATTCTGGCTAAAGTAGCAAGGGTCCTTGGGAGACAGAAGGCAGCATATGCCTGACAAATCAAATCATCATCACTACCTTAACTGCTATTTTCCCTTGGATGCTGATGAAGACATCCCAGGATGCTGAACACAAGGGCCTTGCAAAAAGCACTGCTTCCAGCACAATTCCAATAGCCATTATCCTGGGAAACAAACCTGCTAGAGATACAACTTAGCAACTGCTCCTTCATAGCTACTGAGGACCTAGAAAGGAAAGTTCTTACCAACAAAATCTTTGGCACTAATTCAGTTAAACAATATTGTTGACCAATAGTTTAACATCAGAAACGGATAAGATTTTATCACTGGAAATTACTTTAAAGAAGAAGTATTAACACTTGCTGCTGTTCCACCCTGCAAATAGTGGGACTTTTTCATCTGACCTGCAGCTGGAACCTTTCATGTATAGTCTCCCCCATTGGAATGTGAGCTCTTTATGTCCAAAGGGCTATATAATTGTGCATATCCTTTGACCCAGCAATACGACTTCTGGGTCTGTGTCCCAAAGAGACTATACAAATGGGAGAAGGACCCACACATTCAAAAATATTTATAGCAGCTCTTTTTGTGGTGGCAAAGAATTGGAAATTGAGAGGATGCCCATCAATTTGGGAATGGCTGAGCAAGTTGTGGTATATGAATGTAATAGAATATTATTGTGAATACTATACTATATTGGGAATACTATATAGAAATAATGAGCAGGCAGACTTCATAAAAACCTGGAAACACTTACACGAACTGATGCTGAGTGAAGTGAGCAGAACCAGGAGACATTGTACATAGTAACAGCCACAATGTGCCATGACTAACTTTGTTAGACTCATCCCTTCTTATTAATGCAAAGATTCAAGACAATTCCAAAGGAATCATGATGGAGAATGCCGTCCATGTTCAGAGAAATAACTATAGAGTCTGAATGCAGATTGCAGCATAATATTTGCTCTCTCTCTCTTTTTCCTTTTTTTTTTTGTTTGTTTCTTCTTTCTTGTGGTTTCACCCATTGGTTCTAATTCTTCTTTACAACATGACTAATGTAAATATAGGTTAAATATGAATGTATATGTGGAGGAGACTTCCGCTTCCAGGAGCCAAGATGGCGGTGTGAAAAGGTAGCTGCTCTCACTCTCCCTTATCAACCTCTGAAAACCCAGAAAATATTACCCCAGAAAAAAACCCTGGAAGAGCTGAACTAGAAGAAAGACGGGGAGCAGCAGTACAGCAGCCCAGCAAACGGGTCTCCCAGTGCCTCAGCAAAAATAAGGGAGGTAGAACTACAAGGGGCCCTGCAGATAAGTACCCTGCAGCATTCATCTGAAAGGAGGTGAAGAAAACAACCCTGCAGCCTCCAATTGTGAAGAAATCCTGAAGCCCAGGTGGTAGAGCAGACAAACACCAACACCTGGACCTCCGAGTGCCTCAGTGAGGGTGGGGGGAACTGGTAGAAACCAGCTCAGAATGCCACCAGGTGCCTCGGCACTCGACTGCAAAGGAATCTCCTGGTGCATTAGCAGAAACGAGGGAGACAACACTGCAGGGGGCCCCAGGCAGATAAACACCCTGCAGCACCCATCTAAAAGGAGCTGAAGAAAGCTAAAGGAAAGGAAAAGCAGGCAACCTAGAATTTGCCTGAAAGTTCCAGCCTTGCTGATTCCAGCCCAACGCGAGGTAAGCTGCCAGAAACCTACAGCTTCCAATTGCCAGTGGAGGCAATAAGAGGCCCCAGCACGCAAAGCCAGTGACCAAGACCTACGTTCCCAACACAAGAAGCTTGGGTCAGTACCCTGTGCTCCCCAGCGGGGGAGCTCAATCTCTTTAAAGGCCAGGGAATAAAGAAATACCCTGAGTAAAAGGAAATGTACCATAGATTCATATTATGAGAAGAGTGAAGATCAAGACAGAAATTCTGAAGAAGACAACACCT